GGGTTCGAATCCCGCCGAATGCCGCGAGTTTTTTCACTATTGGGTCAACTAAATTAACTAAATCTGCCAAACCGACTTAATAATATCTCAATCAATATCGGCATGTGAGGTGAATGAGAAGAACGTGTAAGTAAGCATTGCTTTGTTTTTTAAAGAAGGCCGGAATCAATTTCATCCGCAATCTCAGTAATTTTTACGAGAAGGCCATGTCGCTGCAGTCGAAATGGGTACTCAAAACAGTTCCAGTCTATTGCAAACAAGGCTCTAGCACTTTTGAAAGAGCTGCGCGTCTACGAATATCACGTCCATTATTTTAACAAACTTGCTTAACTGCTTAAATATAAGACCCCATACTTAGATACAGACGATTTCGAAGAACAAACTTTCAACAGCAGGTAGCATTCGCCTTTTATTCCAGTAAGCGATGAACACTGAAATAAGGTAACAGCCTACAGAATGAACTTTCACGAATATATCGGAATAAGAGAGTGACATTATTAACCAGATAAAAAATGCCTCCAGGAACTGAAATGATAAAACAGTGATTGCAGGCGCTAAAAAGGAGCCAGATGGCCAAACTTTCTTCGGCATCAGTATATTCGCAGCTTGGGTGAAATCTAGGAGTCATGGAGATTTTATTCGTGTGTTAAAACTCTATTATAAACTAAGTTAGCACCTTATTTATTTCAGTCTGAGAACGAGTTTCTCTCCTATGAAGTCATGCAGGAACGAGGTTAAATCTAAGCTCTCTTAACGTTGTGACACTTTCTGCGGTTGTAGAATGAGAGATGAATGTCCGTAGTACATGAGACGCTGTGCTAACTCCTTAGGCAGATGCATGTTATCATCTGGCCCTAATACCCACACACCTAACAGTTAGGGTATTTATAACCCTACCGTAACGACAGGCTTCCCTAGAAAGGCGCGTTACCTATTCGGAGTCAGTGAAGGTGGTAGTCTTTTCGATTAATATTAGTTAGATTTTAGCAGAAACGTAAAGATGTTTGTACGCTTAAGCAGGAGGATGTCTCGTTCCTTCATTTTCTTCAGGCAATTTATAATTCAAAGAGCCCAAGACCTTCACATTTCAGCACTATTTTCCAGACTCCGTCGCGATTAAATTTGGCAAATTATTCCGTAATATGGAAACCGTTTATATAGAATTTGCTCTTTGAGTTTTATCATTTTTTCTTTATTTGGCGGTCTTCAGAGTCCATGCTGCTAGTCTCGCCGTTCATATGAAATTAGTTCTAGCACTCTGGGTCCAAGTTTGCAGATGCATGTTCAGGCATTTCAGTAGGATGCTAGGAAAGATTTTCACTACAGTTTAGCGTAGCGAGCCGTCATATTTTCATACTGAAGCATTGTCAGAGCAAAATGACAGCAGTCAAACATAAGAACAGACCAATCACTTCGGCCCCCCGATTTCTAGCCACTGTCTGATGCAGAACGGTTCAACCGGATCAAACTATGGTATCTTTTGATGTCGTTTCATTATTTACATCTAGCCCTCCGGACCTGACACGCAACGTTCTACGCAAACGACTGGAAGAGAAATACGATGAATCGAGGGGTCGTCTAGAAATTGACCATCTAATGCATCTGTTCGTCTTCTGTCAAAGAAATTGTTGCACATTTAATGTCCAAACATACGAGCAGACCAAGGGGACGCCGATGGGATCCCCAATTTCCAGTCTCATCACAGAACTGGTCTTACAGGAGCTAGAAAAAGTCACCTTCGATCAGTTTAAGCCGGCATTATGGTGCCGATACGTGGACGACACTTTCGTTATAATTGAACGGAGCCGGCTAGCAGACTTCTAAAGCCTGCGTTACGGTATCTTCCCCGACATCCAATTCACAAAGGAGGAAGAGAGTGCCAGACAACTTCCGTTCCTGGATGTCCTCATCACGCGCAGACCCAACGGGGAACTCGACATCACGATTTATAGAAAGGCGACTAACACAACCCACGTGCTCAATTTCCATAGCAACCACCCAACAACGCATAAAAATGGCTATATTCGAACACAATTTCAGAGGGTGAAGACACACTGCAGTGAACCGGAATGACGAGTGCAAGAATAACGACATCTTCGGGACCAACTGGCCAGGAATGGATAACCGAACAGCTTCATCCACCGCTGCCTCCGAACATACCGACGGAGAACAAACGAAGGGAGACCACCAACGCTCTGGCAGCCTCTACCGTACACTGAAAACGTGTCAGAAGCAACCGACGGTATCGCTGCAGAGCTCGGCGTGGGTATTGCTCATCGACCGCTAGCTATCATGCGTGCTCGGGTCATGCAAATCAAAGGCCCGCTGGATGTAGGTGAGTAGTCTGGCGTCATATATCAGGTGCCATGTTGCGACTGTTCTTGCCATTATACAAGGCAGACCGGGCGACAACTTAGCTCGCGAATAACGGAGCACAAATGGGCAGTTCGGAAAGGTGACCCACAGTCCCAGATCACCACCCATACTCTGGAAGAAGGCCAAGAATTCGACTTGTCGAACACACGGATAATGGCACAAGCCAGTAATCAGACGGGACGCGAACTGCTGGAGGCCTGGATGTCAGATCCTAACTCAATTAATAGGCATGTTTATATACCGCCCTGATCTTTTGCCATCCGTGCCCGTGACCAGAAACCAGGACCCAGTTCCTCTACAAACATGCAGGCCACCACATCAAAGTCACACGCCGTTAATCCACGGACGCGCGTCGGAGACAAGATAAGAGAGTGTAAGCATGGACTTGGCGTGGATAAGGACCAATCAATAATTGCCCTTACTCCCCCTTCCCCTATCAACCCTATTTCTGCGTAGCTGACGTTTGCTGTTCTCATTTACGTTGACGATGGCTTCTCGTGTGGAACCGAAAGCAGAGAAAACAATTTTTCCTTTATTTGGCGGTCTTCAGATCCAAGGTGCTGGTCTCGCAGTTCATATAAAATCAGCACTAGCACACTGGGTCCAGGTTCTCAGATGCATGTTCAGATATTTCAGTAGGATGCGTGGAATGATTTCGCTACACTTTTGCGTAACGAACTGCCATATTTTCATACTAAAACCTTGTCAGAGAAAAATGACTAGTTCTTATAATATCCAAAACAAGCAGTTGTTGACACTTATCAACAAACCGATAGAACAGTCCATCCCATTTTGACAAAACTTAAATGAACGGTTATCGATACTTGCTGTGAAATTATATCATTTAATTAGCGAACTAATATTGTTAATCTTCACCGTGCGGGAATCTATGTGCTGCATAAGCGGATGCCATTGCAGAATCGACTATTGTACTACCGGCGAGAAAAAAATATTTGACCCGGCAAACATACTGTATATCGACATTCAGTGAAGTAATTCTAATTAATTTCAGTACATTCCCTCTAAGTGTTTGTAAAAGACTATGCTTGACCCAAGCTTCTATTTTAAATTGAGTGATGGCCTTTAATTGTCAGCTGCAGTTAATCGGGACGTTTGCATTTAGATATGTACACAACAGGTGTGAAAGGAAAGTGCGCCAAACACCATGGGAACATAAGTAAGTCCAGTTTCACAACTTGCCAGTCTGCATTTAAATGGTTGAATAATTTCTTAATTTTAAAAAGTATTCCACGAATTATCGCGTAACGTTTGCAATTCTATTTCCGAACGAAAAGTTAGTTTTAACACTAAATAACGTGCAGCATGAAGCAACGATATTGCACTCATACCGGCCCCCTTAAAATAGCTACTTTTTGAAAATCAGCGACGGCCAAACTCTGCAAAATCCCACATTAACATCATCTTTATTTAAAGAAATGCATAAGTTATCATAGGCTAGCAAATGACTATAGGAATTTGAGTTGACCCAACTGTGAAAAACTCCAGGCGTTTGGCGGGATTTGAA